AAATTGTTTGCAGGGAATTCCTCTCTCAATTTCATAACGAGTTTGCTTTCGTTAAAGAGATTCAATAAAACTCCAATTTTGTTCAATTAAAACTCCAAGATGATTCTTCGAATGGAGAGTCTGTTTTTCTATTTCGTAATTTTTTTTTTAGGCTCGGATTCTTTCTCGGAAAAAATCATAATCTAATGTGTTTGCATCCGGAAGAGAGAAGCAGCTCCGCCGCGTTTCCCCTTGGGTGCCGTCTGCCGAGATCGGTTAAACGGAATGTAATTTCATTTCATAAGCGGGCCCATATGGGGACCTGTTCCTCTGGGTTTATCTCGTTTCCCCCGCGAATGCCATTATGGAATCTCTATAATGATGGATCTGGTGGCTGTCATCCCATTGCCTGCAAGTTTGAATTGCAAAAAATTCATGGAGGGGGAAAAGGCGGAAGAAACTGCAGATTTGATTCCCCGCCTCCACTGTCTCCTTTCTTTTTTTTTTCAAGTTTTCCTCGTTTTGACGCAAATGCGTCAAGGGGGAATCTGGAATTAATATAGGAATGAATGTTTTTTTAAATCTCATTTTCTTTGGTTTTCTTTATTTATTTTTTCTGCTCTCAATCATAAATGTGGAGATGAATCGCAATCAAGTTCAACTTTTTTTTATTTCTCTCGCAAGACTCCGGACTACCTAGAAATGACGGTGTTCTCAAAGGACAAGGCCGTCGTGATGGTCGGAAACCTGGCGGACGCGAAAACCCCCGAAGAGCTGGGAAAAGTGAACCACCTGGCGCGCTGGTACAAGCCCTGGTTCTACAAGCACGTGGAGGGATTCCTCCAGCGGGAGGAGGGCGAGGAGTTCGTCCCGCTCAGGGAGTATTTGCTCAGGCACAATCGGGCGATCTTCTGGGTCGTGGAGTCCATGATTCCCTTTGGGAATAATCCAGTCTTCAGGTACGTCCATTCAGCATTTATAATAATGATAAAATAATTTATTTTTAGCATTAAACTTTTTTTTTTAAGGTTCTTTCTTGGGTGGCTGCTGCCGCCGAAGGTGGCTTTTCTCAAGTTCACCACGACTCCCGGCGTCCGGGCGATGACGTTCACCAAACAGGCAAGTCTTCCCGCAGAACTCGGCGACATCATTTAGATATACAGGATGGGTCAAAAGTCAGACCACATAGGATTAACACTTGTTTTAACACATAGGCATTAAAACATTTTAATTATTTTAAATATTTATTATGTTATTAATTATTTTATATATTATTATTATTTATTAATGAATTTATTAATTTATTATCGTGTTAATGGAGAGCATTTTGAATATTTCTTTAAATAAATGTTAACCCTATGTGTCCTGACTTTTGGTCCACTCCGTATATGATTTCTTATTATTTACAATATTTTATTATATTATTTATAGAAATAATATCATCCTTCGACCCGACTCCCTCCATCCCAGGTATTCCAAGACATCGTCCTCCCGCTGAACATCCTTGAGGAACAGATCGACAAGGCAACGGAACTCTTCGACACCTTCCCCCTCCTCGTCTACCCATGTCGGATCCTGAACCACGGCCAGGCGGGCCAGTTGCGACCCCCAAGAAAAGACCAGATGGTGCCCGGCGCCAACTACGGCATGTTCAACGACCTCGGCGTCTACGGCGTCCCCGGCCCGGTGAAGAAAAAGCAGCCATTCGACGCCGTCAAGGCCATGAGGGCGATGGAGAAGTGAGTCCCATTCACGTCCAGCTTAGAGCCTCAATCACGTCCAGCTTAGAGCCTCAATCGCATCCAGGTTTTAGCCCCAATCACGTCCAGTTATGAGTCCCATTCACGTCCAGCTCAGAGCCGCAATCATTTCCAGTTCAGAGCCGCAATCATTTCCAGTTTTGAGTCTCATTCACATCCGGCCTCGATTCGCAATCACATCCGGCCTCGAGTCGCAATCGCGTCCAGCTTTTGAGCCCCATTCGCATCAGGCTTTGATCTCGCTATTCTATCGATAATGCCGAGGGATAGAAACCCAATCAGCGTGAATCTGAGCCCGACGATCCTGCAGGTTCATCCGAGACGTTGGCGGCTATTCGTTTCTATACGCGGACAACTTCATGACCCGCGAGGAGTTCGAGGTCATGTTCGACCTGACCTCGTATGAACGAGTGCGGAAGAAGTACCACGCCGAGGGGGCATTCCCGCATCTCTACGACAAGGTCAGCCTCTGCCAATTTCATTCCACCTCTGCCAATTTTGTTCGGTCTCTGCCAATTTCATTCAATTCCTGCCGATTTCTTTCAACCTCTGCTGATTTCGTTGCATTCTTTGGCACTTGCGTACGACTCTGCAATTAAGAATGGAAAGGAAAAATATTGCCATCCATCCTCATGATATTTTCATCTCAGCGTATTCCCCATAAATGATCCAATCTATCGTCAACGACCCACGAAGCCCCTCAATTGTTGATGAACGTGTGGGCGCGGGCACGAGGGATATATCGTAGGTGTGTCATTTCCACTCGTCGTCCATCCATCGATTCTCCTTCGCAGGTGAAGCCCGAGATCGACGTCTTCCAAGTGGGAAAGCAATACGTGAATCCATTGTGATTTCTGAGGAAATTGCCCTTTTTCCCCACGGCTTCCCGCGCGTCATCGAAGAATAAAGGGGATTCTTCATGCCCTGGTTTTTTCCTTCTTCGTCGCGTTGGATCTTTTCCTGGTGCAATCAGCTGAATGTTAAGTTAGTAATTAGCTTAAAAGAGGTCATTCAGCTGGTTTCCAGGGAGAAATCCCGTAATTGATGCGTTTTGGTATTCAAGATGGTTGCGCCTTTTCATGCGCCTTCTAATACGCCCTTTAATACGCCTTTTCCGGCATGTCTGAGGCAGCTGCGTCTGCTCGAGCCTGCAAAATCTCCACCTGAAGCCTGAAAACGGCAGGAAAGGGCCTTGTATTCGTACTTTCCCTCGAAATAATTCTCCAAGTCGAACGAGAGTCGCTCGATGGATTCGAGTCTGCTACATCTGCCGATCCAGAAAGCACGGTGGCAATGAAAAGGCACGCAACAAGTGGAATTTTAAATTTAATTTCTTCTTTCTTTTGCTAAAAGTGAAGAAGCAGAAGATAATGGCTGGCATTTTTTCTCTAGAGGGTCACGTCGTTGAGGGTAAATGTCACACCAGTCATAATTTCGGTGATCCTGGAAACCAGGTATCAGAATCCACATAATCGTACTCTGAAAATTGTATTATTAGTATTCATTCATTTATTTATTTATTCCATTTTGGTCGCCACGGCCCATCGAAGACAAGAACACTAAACTGCTCGGAATGAGATCCGAAATCTGCCGGTCTGGTTGACCCGCGGAGCGTGAGACGCTGAATTGAGCCCATGGAGCACTAAGCGTGACGGCATTGGCCTAGGGAACGTCAAGCACGACTATTTCATCGACTTCTAATTGATGAATAATTTGCGCTCTACGACGATAATCCTCAGCGTAAGCACCCTGAAAAATCTTGACCTTTTCTTTGACCTTTTTCCTTGCCTAATCTAAGGGGGAAATCACGAGGCACGAGAGAGCAAGCAAGTTAAATTATTCAAAGATTAATTAAGACATAAGCCGACATTGGATATCCAAGAAACCCATAAATTGATTCAGGAATTCCAGAAACTCTGCTTAAAAAAAACTCCCTAGCACCCCAAAAAAAAGGGAGAAATTGAAAAAGGGACGAAATTGCAGCCAAGAAACGAGCGAGCGAAAAGGCAGAGGCGTGGGCGTCTCCTCCAATACAATAACATGGAAATTCGGGGATCCAATCGATCTCAAAAAGTGGTATCGTGATTACACTCGAGCACCATTATGATAACGAATCGAATGCAGTCGAGGGTATCGCCTGCGGACAGCTCTTTGCTTTAAGAATAATAAATCTTGGCGAGTAAGAATAGTCTCCAAATGAGAAACCGAAACGCCTCATTTCCCGGGGATTGTGAGCTCCATCATCTACTCCATCCCAATTTAAAAAAATATGAATAGATGGACGTGCTTGGAATAGCTGAAAGGAATATTTTTCTGCCAATTTTTTTAAGGCAATTTTTTTGGGGGAGCAGTTTTTTTTTGTGGAGACGATTTTTTTTTTTAGAACCATTTTTTTTCCCCTCATTGATCTTTTGGAGACTTATCATCGTCGTTTTTCTACTCCTCCTGTCACAGACGTTTAAGGATGGTCGATGCGGGGGAGAGTTTCAATCTTCGTGTCCGGACCGGCTGACGACCGGCATTTTCGTTTCTCGGTCCCGCACAACGGCAATCGTGACTTTTCCGTTTTTTATTTTTTTTATTCCGGGGATTAAGATGGATATAACTCTTCGTGCCTGCTTTCTTCGCACGGACAGCCTACAAGCAGTTGAGTGGATTTCGAAGAAATAAGAAATTGCATGAATTGCGATTAAATTCTTAAGTGGCTTTTCCGCGAATCGAGATTTCTCTCCGAAATATTCCTCGAGTAACGAAACGAAGTTGTGTCATGAAGGAGGAAATGATGCGTCAGGTCGATTCGGCGTAACGGAGTAAATCGACTCGGGACGAAGGCAATGGCGATGTGACGGTCCATTAGGTTCCCCATTAGGATTAGGGATTTTCATTAGAAGTGCCTGGAAAGTTGGGCAAGAGGGGAAGATATGAGGTCCGCAGCTGCAACTCGGATTG